TAGCATTATTACTTATATGATTTTTTAAATCATTTTGTTAAATTTTAAAGTATTATTTTAGTGTTATCGGACTGATAAAAAAGTTATATGTATTAAAAAAAAAAAAAAAAAAACTTGTCAAGATTGAACACTCTAGAAAAAGTTATGATATTTCAAAGTTTCATAATTATAACCTATTATGTTGATGTAAAAGAGTTGTGTACTGAAAAGAAAAAAGCTACTAAGATTGACATAATAAAAGATATGTGTTTATAAAAAGTACAATAATTTTTAATATTATTATTTGAAGTAAAATTCGCTTGAAAAATTTGAAGGGAGTATATATTTAGGAAAAAAAATATTTTTCTCTTTTCACTGTCTTCATACTTTCATATACTAATAATAGTAAGTCGAGTTCAAATGAGTTTTATAAAACCCAAACATGAACTAGACACTAAATAAAGAAAACTTAACATGCATTGAATAAGAAATTCTAATTTATTGCACTTTATGAGTTTTTTTTATCAAAAGAATCCAATTATCAAGCAACTAATAGTATACGAAAAACAAGAAAGGAAAACTCCCAAGTAACTATGGATATAAGAGAACTACCAATAATAATGTCCAGAGATCGTACATATAATAAGACCATAAAATTTGTCATGATCACAAAAAGCCAGACAATAAAGGTGAAAAAGATGAAGCAGAGATTGAAAGGTTGAGGCTGATAATCTAATAAACTAAAAGGCCGAAGATGATGGATTACGTGAAAATCATTAGAGACAACTAATTTATTCAAGTTTCTATTTATTTTAATTGCTATATACATATAGAACCAAGTTAGGTTTGAATGATTAGGCTCGATTAAACCCAACATGATATAAAAAAAAAATCAAACTGAAATAACTATTATGATTTAATTTTTGTTAAAAATTAGGATGATATAGAATAATCCAATACTGATTTGAGAATTTGTAGATTTTTCTACTACCCGTTTTTTTTTTTTTTTAACTTATTAAACTCTACAATAGGTTATTTCTTAAATTAGTTGTTAATTTGACGAATATTTTTCTTTATTTCAAAATATTTTATATTTTATAGTGATTTGAGTTAATACCAGATCTTCTTAATATATATATATATATATATATATTTGTATACGAGTAATACGAATGTAGATAGATATTTCAACTAATCTCATCTTATAAATAAATTATGTTAGACCAATATATATTTTTATGTGGGTATTATTATTATTATTGTAATTAGTATTTAAAGTTATTATTGCTAAGATGCAAAAGGAAACGTGACAAAAGGCAGCTA